TGTCGCTTCCTAATTGATTGGGGTGATTATGATGGAGCTGACTCTCCTTGATTTTCAGAAGAGATACAGGATGGCAAACATATGACCTAGGGAATTTCACCAACTATTAACGGGCTATGAACATGTTAATCGAGCTTCATTAAGGGCGGTTGAGGCCTAGTCATCATGACCTAGCTGGAGTGCATCAGGAATGGGTATGCATACCCAATTGATGTTTGTGCCAAGCTCCATTAAGGGTGGTTGAGGCATAATCATCATGGTCGAGGCATAATCATCTGTAGTTGGGTTTTGTTGATAGATTGATATTAGGGATCTATCATTGTCTGGTTTCAATTTTGCTACTTTTAGTGGGGTTTAAAAAGATGGATGGAGATATCAGGAGGCAAAGTTAGTATTTTTGCCAGTAAGGATTGATGTGTATTCGTTTTATAGGATAATGCCTGACCTTAAGTATCCTTAGAGGATCCTTAGAGTAGGGAGCTGGATTATTGTGGAAAGAGTTGGTTTCTGGTCTTGATGATAATATTTAAGTGGTTATCCACCTCCAAGAAAATTTTCCATTTCTTCTGAATGGATGAGCATCTTGGATAAGCACTCTAAGCTCAGGTGCCCGGTCATGCTTGATTAGGAGCTCGAGGGGAGCCTCTGAGTTCAAGCTGTGAGATACCCGGTAAAAGGATTTCATCTTTATCAGTAACAATTCACTTTGCTTTGCATTATTCTTAAATGCTTGAATTCTCTCTTATTGTCTGCTTATGTATGGTGGTGCTTCAGCCTTTTATGAGGCACAAAAAGTCATTTGCTTCATCTAGAATTCACTATGAGATACAGGACGATGTAGAAGGATTAGATGAGTGTAGATTTTAGATATAAAAAGTTGTGATAGTTTAATTTTCAAAATTTTAAGTAGCCTTAGACTCAATTTATTAAAGATCTGATCACATTCCCTAAGCAAATTGTTGATACGTATGTGACTTTAATTTTTTAGGTCATTCTCTTTCTATATATTTATGGTTTTTTCATGTATATACTTCCATCATAAATTTTTTCAGACTTAACTCTTAAATGATTATGATTGAAACCTTTCTTATCGCCTACGGGATCTACATCCTCTTCAAAATAGTGGTAATTGGAGAGGGAGGGTTCAAATAGCCAAATCCACGCTGTCTATTCAATTTTCTTGGGGTGAGATGGGCAACACAGGATTTCCATTGTTATCTTGAAAACCAGTAATGTATTGAAAATCACTATTGCGAAAACCACTATGTGATAACAGAAATCCTCCATGACGACGTAACTTGAAATTGGAAGACCTTAATGATTATGATAATTGGATCCTCTCCAATTACCATCGAATCAAAATGTATCTGAATCCTAATTCTATTACTCTACTATCGTCTCTCAATAGTTTCTAATGCATTCACTTTCTTAAGATATTACCTAGTCTACATGAAAAACCCTAAATATATAGAAAGATGACGACTTCAAAACTTGAAGTCACATGAGTATGAACAACTAGTTAAAGAGAAGAAACTAAAGAGGTTAGATCTGTAAAAACATTGAATCTAAAGCTGCTTAGTTTTCTTTTAAAATTAAGCTATGATAACTTAAACTCTTTATATCAAAAGTCAACTATTTACTTTGTTTTGCGTCATTCTTAAATGCTTGAATCTTCTCTTATTGTCTGCTTATGTGTGGTGTGATGAGTGGTAGATTTTAGATATAAAAAGTTCTGATAGTTAAATTTTCAAAAGTTTAAGTAGCCTTAGACTCGATTTTTTAAAGATCTAATCACATTCCCTTCTTCTCTTTAACAAGATGTTGATATGCATGTGATTTAATTTTTAAGTCATCTTTCTATATATTTATAGTTTTTTCATGTATATACTTCCAACATAAATATCTTTAAACTTAACTCTTAAATGATTGGAACCTTTCTTATCGTTTGTGAAATCTAGATCCTCTCCAAATAGGTGGTAATTGGAGAGGGTTCAAATACCCCGATCCGTGTTGTCTATTTAAATTTCTCGGGGTGAGATGGGGCAACATAGGATTTATCTTTAAAATCAATAATGTCTTGAATATCACTATTGCGAAAACCACTATGTGATAATAGAAATCCTCCATGACGACATAACTTGAAATTGGAAGACCTTAATGATTATGATAATTGAATTCTCTCCAATTACCATCTAATTGAAATGCATCTGAATCCTAATTCTATACCTCTATTGTCGTCTCTCAATATTTTCTAATGCATTCACTTGCTTAAGATATTACCTAGTCTACATGAAAAACCCTAAATATATAGAAAGATGACGACTATAAAAATTGAAGTCACATGAGTATCAACAACTAATTAAAAGAGAAGAAACTAGTGAGGCTAGGTATGCAAAAACATTGAGGCCGCTTAGTTTTTTTAATTAAGCTATGATAACTTAAACTTTTTATATCAAAAGTCAACTATTCCTCTGATCTTTTTGCATCACATTTCATATTAAGTTCTAGATGTGATAAAGGACTTCTTGTGCCCCGTAAAAGGTTGAAGCACCATCATATATGGGTAAGCAGGGATTCAAATCCTCTCAAATTAGGTGGTAATTTGAGAGAATCCAATTATCATAATCATTATCTTTTATTCCAATTTAAAGGGATGAGATGAGGCAGTGTAGAATTTCTATTATGACATTAGTGTTTTTCAAGACAACAGTGGTTTTCAAGATAATAGTGGAAATCCTACATGGAATTAACATGTCTCGAGGGAGTGGAATGGTTTTAATAGTTATGTGTTACGACCTAATATTATCCTAGAGTTCTCAAACCTAAAAGGTACAGTGAGGATATAATCTCTCTTGCCTTACAAAGCAAGTTGACCTCGTTTGCTATGCATGCTTGTGGTGAGATTCTCGCTTGCCGTGCTTTTGTATGGTTTTTTTTGCCCCTTCCTTTTTCTTCGTCCTTTTCGGTCATCTTAAGTTTTTGTACAACATTCTGCAAGTTCTGTTCTTTTACAATGTTGGTTGTTGTTATTTGGCTGATTGAAGATGAATGTGGCAGTAATGATATCTCTTTCTCTCTGGTTTTGAGCTTCAGAGTTCTGCTAGTGAATGTGAGGAGTTCGTTTCTTGTTACGTCAAAAAACGTGAAAGAACTTGGGTAGCGTTTAAGTTCCTTGCCCTTATAATTCTCAGTTTCAGGATCTGTGCGTTCAGCTGATGAGGAATTGCCTCGTCCATTTCTTTCTGAGACCCTTGCTCTCTGAAATGTCGAGGGAGCTGGCTTGCTATTTATCGAATACAAGCGGTTTGTGTCTTAAACTTGTATCTTCAATTAAGTCATTTTGGGCTATATGGGAGAATTTTTTTTTAAAGATTTCAAGGAAATTTGATTTTTTAAGCCTATGGTACGTATAAATAAGAAAGATTGGAAAAGAATATATCTAGAATATCCTATTTATTTATTTATTTATTTCGGGGTAATTATGGATAGGCCTTATATACTATTGTCCAATTGGAGATAGATCCTGTGCGGTTCTATTCTTGCGGGTAAGCTTCCTGTATTTATCACTTGATTGCGGTGTGGATACTCTTTTGAGTGTTTTTTTTGGGTGATTCTTTTACTCTCAAGATGTCTATTTCTTAATTTAAAAAAAAAAAAAAACAATCTCTCTTTCTATGGGGTGAAATATTCAAAGAATTTCATTTAGGGGGTCTATCTACAACAAGAGAACTGCAGGGATCTCTATCTACAACTGGGTGATGATGCCTGAGGTCTACCCTCAATTAACCCCCCCTCCCCTTGTCAACTGTGTCCTTCAGAAGAGGCATAAATTGCCAAGTGTGATCCTGTACAAAGTACTGATGAAACTAACACACGCACACACGAGCTAAGCTACTTTCATAATCTTTCAATGCGCGGATGTTATCAATTTGAATTGAAAAGTTCAATCCAAAAAAAAAAAAAAATATGTACCACCGCGCATGATTTAATTCACATGAACGACCGACGAATATAATTTCAAAAGATTTCGACGCACTTTTTATCATGCGTCAATGGGCGAAAAACCGAGCAACTTTGCGAACATTTTGAAAATTTTGACTTTCTTAACAACGTTGAAAATTTTCAGAATTTTCTTTCTAGATAGTTGATGTATAGTATAGTAGATAAGGGTAGATGTTTTCAATTTTGCAACCCCAATTGTAAAATTTGACGTATAGGCCTTTCCTGATCTCTCAAGGACAAAGGGACTTAAAAACACTTCATACTAGCCCAATGTTGCTCTTCGGATACAAGTGCGATGTACAAAAAACATTTCTCTCAAGTCAATTTTTTGTACAAGATCATGTGTATTCAATTTTGTTAAGAATTATGACATGAATCCTTTTCTTCATGCACAATAATGCAATATACACAACTGTATCGGGTGTACTTGAGGCCCAAACTAATTTCATTGGCACAACAACAATCAATTCGTGTTCTTTTGATAAATACAACATAGTTCCCCCCTGAAAACTCACCAATAACCCCCACAAGAACAAACACCATCTTCAAAATGGTGAAACCTATTCCTATCTCTCACCACAATCCTCCTCCTCTCAACCCTCGACACAATCTTAATCATCTCATGACAATCCCTACAAACCCTCAAATTCTTCACAACCCTAATGGTCGTCCCTTTCTCCGTCGTTATAAGTCCATAGCATATCGCCAATCTCTCACTATGGATCGCCAATGCCCAATCTTTTTCCCCCTCTTCGATATCCTGCAACACTTCATTTCTCTTGGGAAAATACCCTTCGTTCTTCAAGACATTGTTCAGATCTTCAAGTTTCTTGTATATCTCCTCTTTTCGAGGGTGCCTGATGTCGCCTAGTAAGAACTCGTGGATTTCGTTCTGAACCTCAATCGAACTGCAACCAGGTTCTTTCTGAATCCCTTTGTGCTTCATTGTCGCCCTGACCCTAACCGCCTCCTTCCATTTCCCGAGAGAAGCATAAACATTAGATAGCAGGACAAAAGTTCCAGAATCAGCTTTCTCGTCATCGGTCATAATTTTCGCTACTTTCTCTGCTAAACTTAAATTTCCATGGACTCTACAAGCACCAAGCAAAGAACCCCAAATGACATGATCTGGTTCGATCCTCATCCTCGAAACAAACTCGTAAGCCTCCTCTAGGAGACCAGAACGGCCTAGGAGATCGACAATGCAACCGTAGTGCTCAACCTTAGGTTCTAAGCCATAGTTTTTGGTCATGGATTCGAAAATCTCGAAGCCTAGATCAACTAGACCACCATGGCTACAAGCATTTAGGGCACCAACGAACGTGATGTGCGTCGGTGATAGTCCCTCTCTAATCAATTCCTGATATAACTGAACTGCCTCACTGCTTTTGCCATGCAATGAGAGGCCAGTGATCATGGAGTTATATGATATCACGTCTCTCTCCTTCATCTCATTGAATATTTTCCTCGCCTCGTCCAAGCTGCCGCACTTTGAGTACATATCAACGAGCGCTGAGCACACAAATGTGTTTCTCGTGATGTTATACTTGTTGATATAAGACTCGATCCATCTCCCCAACTCAAGTGCGCCCAATTGAGCACATGCCGAGAGTACACAAACAACAGTGACCTCATTAGCTCGAACTTTCTCCTTTTGCATTTCTCTGAACAAATCCAGAGCCAAATTATACTTCCCGTTTCGAACACACCCGTCGATGATCGAAGTCCAACACACCGTATCCTTATCAAACGCTGCCCTAAAAGCTGCCATTGCTTCATCAATTCGACCACAATCGGAGTATGAATTAATCAGAACAGTTGAAGCCACTGCATCTCTCTTTGGCATTTCATCGAGCACCAACAGTGCATCCTCAAACCTTCCACATTTACCATATAACTCAATGAGCTTCATTTTCACAAGCCTGTCAAGCGCAAAACCATATTTTACGACCTGGTTATGTATCTGTTTTCCTTCATTTAGAGCCAAAAGAAAACCACAGAGTTTTAGGACCGATGAGATAATGACAGGGTCAGGGGCTACGGATCTATGGAGCATTTGGGAGTAGAGATTAAGGGCTTCTTTATAAGAACCGGAGGCTGTTAGTGTACTGATGAGGGTTGTGTAGTGATAAATATCGGGCTTTTCGATGGTCGCGAAGAGTTTTGAGGCGTAATGTGGGGATTTGAGGGTGGAGAGGAGGCGGAGAGTGACGAAGAGGAGGTGAGGGCTCTGAGTCTGGCCGGATTTGAGGATTAAGGAGTGGATTTGGGGGAATTGGGTTAGGGATTTGCAGGTTTTGAGGAGAGGGAGGAGTTGGGTCTTTTGAGAGTTGGAATTTGTGGGCTTTTTCGAGCTGGTTTTCAGGTTTGAATTTGGCGGGAGAGAGGGTGTAACGGCTAGTGTGGAGAGAGCCATTAGTGGATCTCTCTCTCTCTCTCTCTCTCAAGTATGGATAGACATAATATGCACACCTCTCCTTGAGTAGATTGAGTCAATATCCATAATCATTGACCATGTAAAATAATCGAGTCATATTAGCTCAAACCATAAGTGACATGCAAAGCTAGGAACATTGGAGACGATTAAGAAGAATATGATATGTGTTAGTTATAGTAAAGAGATAGTATTGATAAAACCGATGGAAGTAAAAGATTTATATAGTCCACCTAAAAATTTGGGATGAATGCGTTTTATTGTTGTTGTCTAGTCATAGATGGTTACCTTTTTAAACTATAAGTACAATTTTTTTTAATCTAAACAATATGCCACTTTTGAAAGACCAACTTGATGCGAATACAATTTGCAAACTATTAGCAATTAAAACATCTTGTACAATAAATGATCTCTTTTGAATTTATAATTAGAGTAAATTTTTTGTAAATTTAAGTGGATAGAAACATTTATTTACTAGCTTTTTTATCCATTGCTTTCGCTTTGAAATTCATGCTGATATGTGATGTGTATCAAGTGAAATATCTCAAAGATAGACTTGATTTGTAACACAAATCTCAAATAAAATCAGTGGATAAAAAAATCAATGGAAAAAAAGGTTCCTATCCACCTATGTTTATAAGAACTTTGCTCCTTACAATTGTAAAGAGTTATAATTTTACTCATATCAACCTTTTTTCTAATAACTAATTGGGCTTTGAAAATATTTCCAACAAGATGGATCTTATTTTTATTTAATCATAGATGTCTAGAGCCTCGGACTAATTAGTTGTCCAGCCCTCCAATCAACACAAATCTTATCAGAACATCACACATGCCACCGAAATGTTCTAAACCATAAAGTGGCAATTAAAATCTTCGATTTGTCATCTAACATTTCCATTTATGGCTTAAAAAGTCACATTCCTGTTTTAGGAATACAAACCTTATAAGAACACTCTGCATGCGAGCGAGATATCTTGGGCGATGAAGTAGGCTGTTAAATCTCGCAAACCGTCCTCTTATCTTCTTCATGAATAACTCATGACATTATGCTAGTATGTGATGTGTTCTACTAAAAATTTGTACTGTCAAATCTCACCTATGCTTATGTTCTTGACATAAAACATTGGCAATAAAAGGGAAAGATACTAGATTAGAATCTTTAAAAGTTACCAGCAAAAGAATAAAGGGGCGCCGGCCGTATTTACAATGCATTTCCAACAAAGAAGGAGACTTCGCAATGACCACCGAGGTATATAATTCTCCAACGTCAAGATGTTTATCGAATCAAGAATCTCATGCTCATTTCCATGACGCGGAGTGAAACAGGATGAAGTCATTTATTCTCAAAGAATAAAGTTTGGAAATAGAAATTGCACAACTTCTTATGGTTGATGTTATTGCATGTGTTACTTATCCCGTAAGTAAGTGCGTCCTTTGATTCCACTTATTCTCATAAATTTAAGTGACTGCGTCCTTTGATTCCACTTATTACCAGAATTAACCTAAAAGACCTTGATTTTAAGTTTCACTTGGAAAAACTAAATAACTGGAGACCAGTGGCGTAGCCAGGATTATTTTTTACCCTGGACGAAAAAAAAGTGGTCTACGAGTATGTCCACAGAGCTGTTCTCGGAGGCGGATTCGAGCTTCTGTTGCTTGATGGAATGTACAGCCAGCCTCTTAACGGGGCGACGATGTGATTTTTGGACGGCGCAGGGAATGCGATCAGTATTACGTTGCCGAAGGCCACACCGATGCTGGCAATACCAGCGCCTCTGAGAGCAAGCGGAAGAGGGGAGGTTGCAGGCGGAGACC